ATTGATGTATAATGTATAATTCACAGCATAGAGAGCAGTCATTTAAAGTGTTCAAGACGGTAGGTTTTAATATACTCAAAGTTATACTGATTCAAAATCAATTTTAGAACATTACTAAAAAGAAATCATTTAGCTATCAATCCCTCTCAGTCTCCTATTTGCCCTTAGCTCTAGAAAACTGTATTTTATCTCTCTACAGATTGGCCTATTCTGGATGTTTCATATCCATGAAATCACACAATATGTGGCCTTACTGGTTATTTCACTTGTGGATGTTCAAATTCCTTTTTGGCATAGTGCTTGCTTTTAATCTATAATATCTTCCCATCTTCAAAACATCTTCTAGATTACTTTCAATACCTAATACTATGTTAATGCTATATATAAATAGTTATTAACTATAGGGAATAATGATTTAAAAATAGTATGTACATGTTCAAGTTTAATCAGGTACTTTTTTTTCCTGGGTATTTCCCATCAGAAATTTTGTGGTATTGGGGATGGAACCCAGGGACTCATGCCTACTAGGCAAAGTGCTCTGTCACTGAGCTACCCATCCCACCAATCATCCCATCTGTAATTGAAGCTATGGCTACAGAGGGACAACTATGTGTTTTCCCGTTCTATGGATTATCTTCTCATTTAAAAAAAAATTTTTTTTGGTTGTAGATGGACACAATACTTTTATTTGCTTTTATGTGGTGCTGAGGATCAAACCCAGTGCCTTATGCATGCTAAGCAAGCACTCAACCACTGAGCTATTCCCCAGCCCATCTTTTTACTTTTTGATGGTGTCCTTTTAAAGCACAAGTTTTTGACAGTGTTTAATTATCTGTTTTCTTACTTTGTTTCTTATAGTTTTTCCTTAGGAGTTTTATAATTTTAGATTTTACACGTCAGTTTATTTTGAATTTATTTTTATATAGGTTGTGTGGAAGGGATTCAGTCTTTTTCTTGTGGCTCCTCCTCTTTAAATATTTTGTAAAATTTCCATTAATATATGCAAGCTACACATGTAAGTAGGAAAGATGATAGCTCCAAAGGAGATAATGTTTATGAAATTTGCACAAACTGGGTTTGTATCCCTGTGCTAAAAATACTTAATATATGATTCAGGACAAACTTCAAGTGTGGCAGTACTATTTTTCAAGCTTTATTAATATAATTCAGTGAGAGCATTATTTTTCAGTTATTTCTGCCACTTTAATGTTTGGTTCTAACTCCTGTTAACAAAGGAATCTTGATAACATTTATTTATGATGGATACAAGTGCAGGTGTATTTTTTGGCATTACTGTCAGAGATGAGATTTTTGCAAGTTGTAAACATATTGGTAAAAGTTCCAAACAAGTGCTATCTATACCTTACAATTTGCATAGCACTTAACGTTTCTAGAAAATTCAGCATACTGTCTTAAGGCAGGAATGGGTTCTAAAGTCATCTGATTACAGAATTTTCTGACAGATATAGGATAGTTCTTTGAATGTCCTGTGCACAGTGGACATCTCTATCCCCTTTCTACTTGTCAGTGGGTGCCTTCATCTAGAGCATTTGCTATCCAATGAGCTAGGTACACAATTTTAAATTTTATAATAGGCAACATTTAAAATTAGTTTTGATTTTGTGTACTATTAATCAACTATATCCAAAGTATTTAATCATGCAGTCGTTATGAAAAATGTCACTGAGAGTTTGCATTCTCTTGTATTGAGTCTTTGAATCTGGTGTGTATTTTATACATACAGCGAATCTCAATTCTTAAGCCTTGTTTCAAGTGTTCAGTAGCTTTGTGTGACCAGTGGCTACCATTGAATAGAGCACACATCTAAAAGTAACTCCAATAGCTGACTGTCAAATGCAAGTCTGTGGCTGACACATCAAATCTGTTCTCTTCTCCCCCAGGGACATTGTCTAGTTATTGTACTTGCTGCTGCCCAGGCAAGGCCCCTAAAGAAAATTCAAGTTTGCTTCTTTATCTTTTCATGACTCTGTGTGTCAGATTGCATTTTCTTCTTTGTCCACTACAACAGCTTCAATGCTAAGAGCTTTATTTCCACCTCCATGTCCCAGCAAGCTGCATTTCTATCCTAATGCTTTTTTTTTTTGCATTTTTAATATCCCCTTAAGCAGTCTACAACCACATGGAGCTGTTTGCCTGTGCTATTCAAGTTTTCATTAGTGCTCTGGTTGCATAATGTAGTGGTTTGCTCCTAGTGGTTTTCACAAGACTTACTTTTACTGTGCTATATTGCAGAATTTCAAAGAAAACATCAAATCAGAAATACCTGTTACAGGTGTGTGGCTTTCTTGGCGAAATCCCCTGAGTAGTCTAGGTAAATTTGTTCTGTAGAATGTAGAATCTGGTCCCTATCCTGGAAATTCCCCTCTCTAAAAATGTATTTTGTTTAACAGTGGATTCAGTTTTCTCTTTAAGTTCTTGGGCTAGTGGTTCCTACTGCTTCCGATGATGATGGATGATGATGCTGCTGCCATGCCCACTGAAAACTCACATATTAGACATTTAACTAACTGATGTCTCGGTCAGGCTGATGGAAGACTTACTATTTCTTCAGAGGAAAGCTTATTGGGATTTCATTTGAATTTTCATTGATAATCACTAAAGGGAATAGATTCCTGGATCTTAACCTTGTGAGAGATCATTAAACTTAAAAATCTTATGTTCACAGAGCACTTTACCTATTATGTCTGAATACTTAATTTGCCCCCTTTTATTTTGTAGATTTAAGCACAGACCATTTTGTTAAGAATGTATGCAAATAAGTATCAGAGAAGGGTATCTAATCTAGGCGGCTTTATAAATTACTTACGGGTTCATTTTAGTCAGTAACAGTGACTTTTCCTCCATTATTCTTGACATTATTTTATGGAAATTTCCATGAAAATATCAACATGCAGAGTATAAAAGATATTTTAGTAGTCCTTATTATTTCTAAATACTTCTTATTATGGTGTAAAGCTTATTTTTTAAAAATGAGTTATAGCTGTAAAGCAGAAAGTTTAGCATAGAGCCAAGATTTTATTGAAAACTTGAGGCTGTAATTTTTGTTACTAAGCATTGGGGATCCTAAGACCAATCCCATGTTCAATGATTGTCTGAAGGCTCACAGGACCAAGTCAGTAGTCATTGTCATAGCTGTGGCTTAATTATAGTATAAAATGAAAAGGGAAAACGCATATGGGGACAAAGTGGAGGAATATAGAGGTAGGCTTCCTAAGTTATCTATCTCCTTGTAGCCTGGGACAAGTGATGAGGACTTCATTTCTTTCATCAGGAGATTGCGATGATACTAAATGTTTTCTGTTTTAAAAATTGGATTTGGTTAGTTTGTAGGTACCCTCTGCTTAATACACACAAACAGTTTAGACTTCCATTTATAAAGCAAGTACTTAACAGACTATTTTAGGCACAAACAGCATAGGTACAATGAACAATTAAAACTTTACTGAAATCTTGGTCCCCACATGACTGCCAAGGGCCTGTACTATGCAAGCAGGTCTTTGAAAGGGTAGTAGTCTTACATCTGTTCTGTTAACTTTTTTGTACACTGAGCTTATTTTTGACTGATAGCTTTGTGTTCATTCATAAAGCATTTATTACCTTCTATATTAAAAAGGGGGTTTAGGGTGTTTTACATAAATAGATAAAAATAGATAACATACAGTAAAGCAAGTGGGTGAAGAAATCATCAGCCTCTCTCCAGCATCAAGCTTCTTGATAAATTTCCTTACATTGTCCTTAAGTAACCATTGTATGCATTTAAAGTAATTCTCTTTTTCTTTGACACCTGTAATTTTGTGGGGTATTTGAATCTGCTTGTAGTTTCCCTTTATGAAGAGTATCCTTATCCAGGATTAAATCATGACCATTGCCATTTCTCTTGCTATATATTCTTCCACATGTTTATTGTAAGGCAAGGCAGTTGGTCTTCTTGTGACCTCTAATGGAGAAGACTTGGGAAGCTAAGTATCCCATCCCCCCCACCCCCGAATTCTAGTTTTATATAGATCTGCTCTTTGATTTTGGGTACTTGAAACCTTACAGTCGTCATCATCTGTCTCAGTTCAGCTTTCCTTTTAGCAATTTATTTTTTTCTAATTGAAGTAATTACTTCTTAACTCCTTTCTACTCTGACCAACTGTGATTCTGACTGCTAATTCATGGCTCACTGGACCATTTAAATACACTCCTCCCATTTTCAGTTCTGTATCATTAACACGTTTTTTTAAGTTTGGATTTTTATACCCTAGTTTTTCTTAATATAATAAAGAAACCATCATCCTTGACAGTTGTTGAGATGTTCATAAGATTCAAGAGTTTGTCTGAAGAATTGTTAGATGGAGTTGGTCCTCCTGTTAGAAGATACTGAGTGTCCCTTCCTTGAGGGACAGCTTGAAAACTTTCATGCTGTTTCATTTAAAAATTGGCAAGACTATTAGCAAGTTATAATTATTTAAGATATTAAAATATGTAAGAACAGTGATAATGGTAGTAACTTTTAGTTTCGTCAGTTGAATTTTTGTAAATTTCTGTGTATATTGTGTTTTGCTTTTTTAAAAAATATTTATATTTTAATTGTAGTTGGACACAATATCTTCATTTTGTTTATTTTTATGTGCCGAAGATTGAACCCAGGGCCTCACATGTGCTAGGCGAGTGCTCTATTGCTGAGCTACAATCCCAGCCCCTCTCTTCAGTAAATTTTTCTTCTAAAAAAATCTAAATTGCTAGCAGTGATATAGATTTTTGTTCATCTAATTGTAAACAACATTGTTTCATATGTTATCATCCATGTAATATATTTTTAGTGCACATTCATGGTAGGGTTTTAAATACTTGATATAGCATGAAAAGTGTAAATCATCTCTATTCCTAATGGTCACATGAAGTGTTGATTTAAAAATATAAAATAATCTGTGATATGATAAAAACCAGATGAAATAAAGTTCTAATTCTCTTTGTTCTTTTTTTTTTTTTTTAAGGGACCAGTTACTCTCCACAAGAAAATTCACACAACCACAGTGCTCTTCATAGTTCAAATTCACATTCTTCTAATCCAAGCAATAATCCAAGCAAAACTTCAGATGCAGTAAGTATTATGTTAATTCCCAAATTAAAAAAAAAAAAGAATTACTAGAACATAAACTCTATAGCAGGTCGTTTTTAGATCTAATGTTTTTGTTTTTAAAAAAACGTTTTAAACAAAGTTTACCTCCCCCTTTTTTGTACTGAGGATTAAGCCTCAAGGGCACTTAACTTTTTGTATTTTATTTAGAGATAGGGTCTCACTGAGTTTTTCAGGGCCTTACTAAGTTGCTGAGACTGCTTCAGCCTCCCGAGAAGGTTGACCTTTTTCTAATGTATTTACTTGATACTAATTTTATGAGTATTTCTATGCAAAATAAAATATTGCCTTTGTATTATCTGAAAACTTCTAGTTAATAATAAAGTGGTTTAACTTAAGAGATCTCTTTCCATAATACGTGAATTTATTACAGCATGTGTTTATTACTATCATGTACTCTGTATCAGACTCTTGGGGATAAAAGGTTCCTGTTACAGGTTCAAATGAAATTTCTAATATATTCATTTGATAGAAGATTAGTACATTTCAATTTACTAGGCTAAATAATATACATAGAACTAAGATAATGTAGCCCATTATAAAGGAAATTTTAGACTTGTAGTGGAGACAGAAAAGTAAACATTGCAGTGCATGTTTAAGTTGCTTAGGAGAGCACTCAAGACAGGGATTCCTAGCTTCAATTAGGAAGAAACAAGTAATGCTTGCTGACAGGTTAAATATAATTTGGCCAGTTGAAGACTTTGTATAGTCTACAAAGGATAACACTTAGAAAAACACCAATGTGTGGGACATAATAGCATGCTTGGAGATCTGCAAAAATTTTGTGGAAAAATGACAGGAATTTGGTTATAGAGATGGGGCTAGATCACTAAAAAAATGATGTTTCTTACCAAAGAATATGAATTATATACAAAGGCAGTGGAGAGCTAGTGAAAGGCAAAGTAACATCTGATTAACAATTAAAAAAAAATGGCATGTATCAAGGTGGAAAATACATTATAGGAAAGAAAGAACAGTTAGAAAAAAGACTATGGACAACACATTTTACCTTGGATATTTTGCTGATAACCATACCTTAAGTGGTGTTGAAAGAATTTTGGTTCTACTGTTTTGCCACTTGTTGAGTGGGGTAGTGTAGAACTGAAAACTGGAATCTGCTGTTGCTGCTAGGGTTTCCTCCTGCCTTTTAGTCATCTGTGATACATCTAACAGGAATTCATCTGTGAAATATAAGTATATTTTGCATTTTTCCATCCTTAACCCTCACAGAGCAGACAATAGAAGGGTGGAATTGTGGCTGAGATAACAGCTTGATGTACTTGTAGGTACATCAGACTACTTGAGATGAGTCGTGTTTAGTAAGCTGCAAGCTCAAAGATTTAGAGAATTTCTTGGTTTTCATGAAAAATGGCCCATTAATTTATAAACATTAACATACAGTCCTATTTATCACTGGAAATTTAGATATGGTATTTGTCTTCTGTTATCAGTGTAGATTGTGCTTTTTTTTTAATTTTTAAGAATAAAACCAAAACCGCTTATTCAGGGAAAATAAATTTTTATCATCTGGGTTATTAACCTCATGAAATTAGAAAGAATAAATAATTGCATCCGATATGTTTGAAAGATAAATCATTGGGATACCAGGGAATTTCACTGTGAGTGGAAACTGAAAGCGGTTATCAGAATAGAATGAACATTTTGTTGTTTTCAGACTTAGGGTTCCTCTTTCCTTAGATTTCAACTGTAGGTATGTAAATTACCTTAGAGTTCTTTTTGTTTGTTTAGTTTTTGACATTAATTACCCAGTGGGTGAGACAAGAATAGTAGTTACAAATTGTTTGATTTAATCTTAACTGAGACATTAGCATTTGAACATTTATGATGATTACTTGTCAACTGATATTTTTTGTTCTAAAGATCAAGTTTTTGAGTGACTAGTAAACATAAAATTTTTTTACCCAATACTTCAATAATGAATAGCATACACTAACACAATTATTTTTTTCATATTTCTATGGGTATGTTGTAACTATACATAATGGTGGGATTTATTGTTACATATTTGTACATGTACCCATTATAACAATATAATTTGGCCAATATTGTTCCTCAATATTTTTCCCTTCTTTTCCCTCCCCCGTCCCCTTGTCCCTTTCTTCTACTCTGCTGGTCTCTTTCATTTTCATAAATTATCCCCTCATACACATGTTTTTTTCCTTCTTCTCTCTAACCTCTACATGAGAGAAAACATGACCCTTGACTTTCTGAGTAGTTTATTTCATTTAACATTATGTTCTTAAGTTCCATCCATTTTCCTGCAGATGACATAATTTCATTCTTTATGGTTGGGGTAAAATTCCATTGTGTATATATACCACAGTTTCTTTAGCCAGCCATATATTGATGGACATCTAGGCTGGTACCATAGTTTGGCTGTTGTGAATTGTGCTGCTATAAAAATAGTTATGCATGTTTATTACTATACTATGCTGACCTTAATTCTTTAGGATAAATACTGAGGAATGGTATGGCTGAATCATATGGTGGTTCCATTTCTAGTTTTTTGAGGCACTGCCATATTGATTTCCATAGTGGTTGTACTAATTTACAGTCTTGCCAACATGTAGGGTTGCTTTTTCTAAACATCCTCTTCAGCATTTACTATTGTTTGTATGAATGAATGCTATTCTAACTGGTGTGGGATGAAATTTCAGTGTAGTTTTGATTTGTTCTTCCCTGACTGCTAAAGATGTTGAACTTGTTCTCTATTTGTTAGCGATTTTGAGAAGTTGTTAAGTTTGTTTGACTTTTATTAATTGGATGGTTTTTTTGGGGGATGGGGTGGGAGGTGAGTTCTTTTTATTTTCTGGATATAATCTTGTATCAGAAGAGTATACAGAAAGCTTTTCATCCATTTTGTAGGTTCTGTCTTTACAGTCTTAATTGTTTCCTCTGCTTTGCTATGTAGAACCTTTATGAATTCCAGCCCTTTATGATTCTATGTATTTTTTCCTGAAATTAGAAATCCTGTTGAGGAAGTCAATACCTGTACCTATATGTTGGAGTTAACATATTATTTTAATCTGGGTTAAAATATACTATAGCTTAAACAAAATTGGGGTGTTTTTTTCTTTCAGGATGTCAGGCTTTAAATCAATAACAATATTATTAAAAATCATTAATAATATTATTTAGTTACACAGACTTGTTTGTGTGGATAAGTTTTTTTTTTGTGAAGTTTAACTGTTGAAAGTCAAGGTAAAAATCTTTCTTCCATTATTGGATTAAAATATTATATGCAGGTCCTATTTCAGTGCTATTGTAAACATTTATGTTTAAGATGAGAGCCTGACTCATGACAAATCTTGAGGAAAAGCTTGTTGAATGCCTCTTTTCAATTAAAATAACGACAGGCTTACAGATAGATAATGTGTTTTAGATTCATTATGCTTATTTGATTTCTTTAAGAGTTCTGAATTTCTTCACTTAGGAAAAAAAAAATGTTCCTGCTTAAAAACACTCTAATGGAACTTCCCTAAATATCCTCTGCCAGTTTGAAATTGTGGGAAGTGTTTTAAACTCAATTCTGTGTGACTTTGTATTCATATTCCAGTCCCTCTTTATTAGCAGTTAAGTATTCCATGTATATTTCAGAGTTTTTATGTTTTGAGTTTCCTGAGATTTAATCTCTAACTAATCTGACCTAGAATTATTAAGACATCAGAGAATTCTTAGAAAATCATGAAGGTGTTACAGGAAATACCAAACCATTATTATTAGTAGTAGTTTTATTATATTGCTATTATTATTTTGGTACTGGGGATTGAACCCAGGGGCACTCAACCACTAAGCCACATCCCCAGCTCTTTTCATATTTTATTTAGAGGGTCTCAGTAAGTTGCTATTGGCCTTGCTAATTTGCTGAGGCTGACTTTGAACTCACAGTCCTCCTCTCTTAGCCTCCAAAGCTGCTGGGATTACAGGTGTGCATGACCATGCCTGGCTACCTTTAATATTATTTAATGATGAACTGTTGTTAATAATTAATAAGATTAATTTATGAATTATAAGATTAACTTATCTATCTTCCCTAGTTTTAGAGAAGTGGTAGGAGAATAGAAGAGAAAAATTTAGGAGAATAGAAAAAGGTGTATTCACTTGAGATATTTTGAATTTAGGGAGAGGTTTGATATGTGCCTTGGTAACTTTTTTTTTTTTTTAATATCCATTCTGTTTTTCTTCCCAAGAAACTTACTTATGTTGTTCTCTCCTCACCAGTATTTACCACATTAAAAATCAAAACATATTAACAATTCATTTGAAATATCATAAATACAATGTTAATGTATGTCATTTTTATGAAAAAATAACTTTTCTTAAGAAAAAAGAAAACATGAACCATCTCTTTAATGCCTAACAGAAGAAGACAATTAGATTTATTTCGATAATATTCTGAAAATAGTTTCAGTCTTGCAAAAGATGTCAGGATTCCCAGTGTTTCCTGGATAACACTTGGAGAATGCTTGTGTTGGCTACCACCTCAAGCTTAATTTAGAAAAGGCTTTTAAGTGTAGTTCTCTGTGTGTGTGTGTGTGTGTGTGTGTGTGTGTGTGTGTGTGTGTATGTGTGTGTTTTGTAAAATAAAGAAGTTAGAAACCCGTCATTGCTCATATAAGTATTTTTTAAATTAATTCATTACTTGGAACATTTTCTGTTTTTCCTTAACCTATTTGAGTATGGAAATTGAGTAAAGATGAGATAGTTACTTAGTCTGTGATTATAATGTAGTACCCGAATACATGTCTTTTTAGGTAAGATATTATCTTGTACTAAGGTAGGATTTGACAGTGTAGTTGACCAGAGCTTTTCAGGGTTCTGGTTTGTGAACTTTTTTGGTATTGGAGATTGAACTCAGAGGCACTTAACCACTGAGCAATAATCTCTAGCCCTTTTTTGTATTTTATTTAGAGACTGGGTCTCATTGAGTTGCTTATTAGGGCCTTGCTAAATTGCTGGCTTTGATCCTTCTGCCTCAGCCTCCTGAGCCACCAGAGGACAGTGCCCCTTGATGTGAATTTTTAACTGTCCTTCAGTTGTGCATGAATGTAAATGAACTGTTATCTAGTTTACATTCCTTATCTCCTTTAGGACAGGTGACAGTTTGCAAACCATGGCTTTAAAGAATGCTGGTGTAGAAATACTATTGCATTCTCTTGTTAGTCTCAAATCTCATTCTGTCTCTGACCAATCCAGTAACTCCATATAAGTCTTCCTGGGCAATATTTATAAAAGGGATCATTTTGTATAACTCAAAAATTCTTCTCTAGAGAAGATTTTTTTGAATTTGGCCTTTTGTGATTGGTTTCCTAAAACTTGGTTATAGCTTACTTTGGAAACTGGGGATTAAGAATTAACTCTCTTCTGCCTTTCTTTAGAGATCTGGCAGCACAGGGCTGATGTTAAAGACCCTCCTCATTTGAATTACATACCTGAGAGTATAAATGTATAGCAGAATCTGAAACAGTTTTTCACCGTTGTCCTCAAAATTAAAGATCATTTTGGAAATCAGAATTTTTGAGCCTTTCTTTAAACCATCAATCAGTGTTGTGACCTGTGAATAACTCCTAAATTCTCTAAGCTTGTTAAGCTTGTTTTCTATTTGGTAAAATTAAAGCTAGGTAAAGGCACAGCGATAAATGGTTTTCCCCTCAAACATTAAAATTGTATTGTTCTGTGGGTGGTTAACTGAGGATATGTATAACATTTTAATATCAAGCTGCTCTAAAAAAATAGTTAAGAAATTCAACTAGAAGAGTACTTGATATTTTGCCAGATTTTCTGGGGTCTTTAGGCACTTAAATGTTATTGGAGCTCAGTTCCTGGAAACTGGACCTTTCAGATTTTTCTAATTTTATTCTGATTTTACATTGCCTGTAAAACATCAGTAAGAGACTGTATCTGAGAAGTTTTCAAAGACCAGTTTTAGTTATAGGAAAAAGAGTGGTAACTTCTGGTCTTATTTATAATGTATTAGACCGGATTTTAGTATGTACGTGACCCATCTCATGGATTTTGAAGATTTATAGCTTTTAATTATCTTGTATTTAATATTTTTATAATTTTAGTACCTTTTTCATTAACATAAACACAGGCGGGCTGTTATCTATTGTACTATATATTTCTCCTGTTTAGAACTACAGATCTCATGCCATCATCAGTCATTTGAGAAAAGGTTTTGCACCCATTATTGGATTTTAGCAGTTAAAATTATGATAAGGGGAAACTTTTGTATAATGCTTTGATGTTTTGAATTTTTTAATTTTTCTTGTGCCTAATATAACTAATATTTATTAATGTTTACTTTTGATCCTTTATAGGGTTTTCTTATATTTAAAGGTTTTCATAGACTAACTCTTTTAAAATACATAAGCAGTTAATTAGATTCTAGATCAGGGTACAAGTAAACTTTAACATTTTCTAATTTTAAAAATGTATTTTTAAGCCTTATGATTCTGCAGATGACTGGTCTGAGCACATTAGCTCGTCTGGGAAAAAATATTACTACAATTGTCGAACAGAAGTTTCACAATGGGAAAAACCAAAAGAATGGCTTGAAAGGTATTTGTTTTAATCTAAATAATAATATTCTTAATTCTACAGTTTAATATCTTACATTAAATATTCTAATTTTAGTTTCCTTACAGTGTCATTCTCCTTAATTTCAGTGATTGGCCCATTGTCATTGTTATTTCTGTAATTTCTCTTTCCTTTAAAAAAAAAAATTAGGACACATGTGCAACTTTTACTGAGGGGAACAGAGGGGCTTGGAAGCAATCAATATATTTAATAAAATACTTATATTATTAATCTGCATGTATGCATCATTTTTAGAATTTGCAATAGATTCTTTCATATCTTAATAGGTTTCTTAACCTTATATAGAATTTGAAGAGTTTTCATTATAGTGTTGATAGTATGAATAATTGATATAGTTTTGCCATCAGAGACATTTGAGTATGGTGTTTGCTCCATCCATTTCACTGCAGTGAAATTTCAGGCCATGTTCAATTTTTTTGTTTTCCATATCCCATTTTGTTGAGTATTTGTTATCAGTGGCAGCTCATGAGGATTGTGCTTGTTTATTTGTTTGTTTTTAAAAGAAAAATCTAATCATTGAACACTCAGGCCCTCATTGTGATTTTTATGAGTTTATTTTTTATTTTTAGAGAGCAGAGACAAAAAGAAGCAAATAAGGTGGCAGTTAATAGCTTCCCAAAAGATAGGGATTACAGAAGAGAGGTGATGCAAGCAACAGCTACTAGTGGGTTTGCCAGTGGAAGTAAGTATTAATTTTTTTCTTTGAAACAGGGTAATTCATCCCTATTGTTTATTTTACAAGTGTTTATATGTGTTGTCATATACATGTATAAATTAAGATAAATAGGAACATGTACGTGATTTCTTTTTATGTTGACTCTTTCTCAACCTCTACTAGTATGTTTCCTGAATAGGGAACAAAGATAGAGATGCACAGTAGAATAGTACATGAATATATTTCCTACTACTAATAAATATATTTCCTACTACTAACAATGGCTACAGTGCCGTTGAATTAGTAAACAATAAGATTTTGTGTTTTAGATTAACTTTTTTTAATTAAAAAAAAAAAAAAAACAGATGGTGACCCCTGGCTTTTTGCTGATGAAGAACAACTTTATTATTTTTTGGCTTACAGTTTTACAGGTTTGGTTCATGATTAGCTGAATCCATTTCTTAGAGCCTGGGGCAAGGCAGATAGGTATAAACCTCCTCAGCTCATGAAAGCCAGGAAGCAGAAGGGGATTTGAGGCACTAGGGCCAAGATAAAAATTGCAAGATCCCCACCTACCAACATTATCACCCAGTACAGTGGTCATTTTAAATTAATCAACCAAAAGGAATAATCTACCGATTAGATCACAGCCTTCATAATCTAATTATTTCACCAGTTAACATTCCTGAGTTGTCTCACATGAGCTTTCAAGGGATACCTCATGTCCAGATTATAACAACCCTTGAGAAACTATTTATCTGCACGTAGATATTCCCTAACTTAGGATTTCTTAACTTTGCACTAGTGTGAAAGCATATCAATACAAACATTGTTTTTCATTTTCAGTACCAATGTTCAATAAATTTTCATATGCAGTTCAACACGTTATAAAACAGACTGTGTTAAGTGATTTTTGCCCGACTGTAGGCTAATACAAGTATGCTGAGCATGTATAAGGTAGGCAAGGTTAATATCTGATTTTCAGTAGGTTTGGTATATCAAGTGTATTTTTGGCATATTTTTAACTTTCACTTGGTTTATTGGAATGTAACACCCTTCGTGAGTCAAGAATTATAGACCTGTAGTGTAGCTCTCAGCTAAGTTTCCACAAAAGGATTCCCAGAATGTTTACTAGAATACTATTCTAAAACATTTGTTGTAAAGTGCTCCTGTCTATAAATCAAATTATGGGTTTACTTTAGTATTCTTTTGAGGCCAAATTTTGTGCATTGGGAAAGGTTTTTGGTATCATCATATATTTGTTTTTAATGCATTTTTTGAATTTAACATTTTATGAATTTAACAGTTTACTGAATGTTTTATTCTTAATGACTTCCCCTTCCTCAAATAAATAATTGAGATTTTGAGAATATTTAAGATGGTGTGTTCTGGGAATCTTAAATTTAAGCGTTTGAATACTATTTCTGTAATTCAAAACTCAAAAGTACTGGTGTATTTGGTCTCAGCAAGAGACATTGAATTTTTGAGGGGAAAATTTAAGATGAACCAGTAACATGAATTCCCATGACTGAGTGTTGCAGTCTTTGGAACAATAAAACTTTATTAGTGAAATTGTATAGAAAGCAGTGGTACCATGTACTGAAGATAGGAAGCACATTGTATTTTGAGAAGACTTGGGTTCTAGTCACATTTCACTTCTTAAGTAACTGTGACTTTGGGCAAACAATTAAAAATGAAACAGATTTGTTGAAGGAAGTAGATAGCACCCAGCTTACAGGACCCCTGAGCAAATAGAGGATGGGGAAGCATAAAGGAAGAATGACAGATGAGTATAAAAATAATCTTTTAGTTAAAAAAAAATGTTTTAGGGATACAGTGTTGTGTTCATGCTAAGTAGTTCCTGGGATTAGGCATCATTAAATTGGACCAGTTGTCTCTATTTATGCTGATGTTTCCAGTGTTTCCCAAAGAGGGAAAAGAACAAAGCTTTGTATGCCTAGTATATTCTTTTCAAAATAACCTCTCATTTAAGTCATTCTTCCCTCAGGGTAGAGTAAGAGGAGAAATTAAAGACTTGATTTAGGAAAATTAATGGGAGGGGGAGTTTTGTGTGTCTTGTACATGTGAATGCAACTATATGTGTGAATACATTTTTTTTTCTTTCAAAACTTAAAATTTTTCTTCATGATTTCAAAAATTAAGACGTGTTTATTAAGAAATTAGAAGAGAGGTCAAGTTTTTAATCCCATGACTCAGGATCATTTTGAAACTTATACTTTCTTTCTGTGCGCATATATAAATGTATGTGGAAATTGTATATGTGTGTATTTTACTCTAAAAAAGGTACTGTTACTGGTTTTAGTCTGTTTCTTTAATACTATTTTAGGGATTTATTTCCATGTCAGCTTGTAATTCTACATTTGTTTTATTGCCTATACAATATTCCAGTGCTTGGATGTACCTTTATAAATAACTCCCATTCATGAATACTTGGGTAGTTTTTAGCCTTTTTCTTCTATAAACAAGATTTTTATATTTGCCCTCTTACCTGAAGCTGAATTCCTACATGTGCAGATTATGAGTAGTGTGACTATGGCTGTGTTAAAATGTAGTTTTGTATCATGCTTTCTTTCTTTCTTTCTTTCTTTTTTTCTTTTTAATGGATCAGGCAAGCTGTAAACATTGTGGTAGTAACCAGTTGATGTTGTATAACATTGCCTATCTAAAAAATTTTGGCAGTTTTCCTATGTGTTCAGCATATTGGTGTTCATGTAGAGTAATACTTAAAGCTTGTTTCTAATAACTGATAAAAGAAACAAGAAGGGGGTAGGATTGGAAAGATTTTTACATGTTCTCCACAACTTGATATTCAGAATTATATGGATACAATTTTTAAAATGATACTATTACTGGATCTTTTTCTAATCCATCTAACGGGGTGATCTCTTTAAGTTTAAAGAAATTTCTGTTGGGATTTGTCATTGCACTATTGATATTTTGGATCAGGTGTTTCATTGTTTTGGATGACTGTCCTTTGTTGGATTGTTGAGCTTCATACTTATCAGGTGTCATTTGCACATCTCCCCTCCAGTCATGATAATGCACAAATGTCCTAGGGAGGGGGTATGTGCAAATAATCATTTCTTTAACAGTGTTCTCTTTAGAGCTGTAATACAAGGCTTTTGTACCTGTAGTTTCTTAGTTCCTATGTCTTTGTTGTTGTTATTTGAAATATCACTTTTAGTTTTCATTGCTGTACATTTATTTACTTGACATATTTTGATGGTAGCTATATAGAACTGAAAGGGAATTTTCTTTGCCTAGAATTTTTATTTTCTTGACAATCTAGTAGTAGAGGTAGGCTTAGTATTATTCCTTTTCTTTCTATCCTTCAAAGGTTTGTGATAGAATTTCTTCTAGCAAAAAGAATACTAGAATTGTAGTTTTATGTCCATGAGAGTTGATAATTTATTAATATGCCCATGCACAGATGTTTATTCTGGTGTGACAGTTCAATCTATTTTTTGTTCAGTTTTCTAAGGTAACATAACTTTGGACCCTAAATTTTATACATTAAATCATTGTCAAAAGACCTTGTATTTTTATATGATTGAAATTATTTTGTTGGAATATAGCATATAGTAATGTGTGGTGGTGACTTTAAAATGACTTGTAGTTTGAGAGCATTTTTTTGCTGTCTTGGTCTGTAGAATAAGGAGTATGAATCGGAAAAAATTCAATATTAAATGGAGAAGGCATCCTTCGGTAAAATTGTGATTCCTGTCACATGTTTGAATCTTAAGGTTTTTACTTGGAGGTTGGTTTAATTTTTCCGTTCCATAGATTGGAATATTGTTTAGGTTAGAGACTTTCTATTAGTAATAAATGTGGTTAATGTAATTGTTGAAATTTTCTTTCCTTCATTCTGTTTTTTTTTTTTGGAAGCAGAGTGCTAGAATTTAAATTGTTAATAGAGGTTATTTTCAGTACTTCCCTGTGTGTTTATAGTATTTTTGTGCTTTTAAATTGAAAGATTTGTTTTTACTTTAACTGTTAAGTAGATGTTGTTCATGATGCAGATGTAGGACTTCTATTTTCAGGAAGTGTGTATCATTTTTATTAACTTACTGTCAGCACTATTAAAAATATTGGTTTACTTAATTGCACATTTCATGATGAGCTCCAACATCTTAAGTGATGTCATTTAAGCCCTTGCATAAACTACTTCAGAACCCACTACTTTAGTATTCAGAAAAATCAAGTTAATAATAAGCTTAATATTTCTTTGCAGTTGGACCACTGTGGATAACTCAGTCATTTATTAGAATCTATTATCCGTATTTTAAAGGAATGGAACATTTACTTTTTAATTTTTGAAACATTAATTTTTTTATTTGAGTAAAATATTATATCTCCATGTATTGAATCTTTTTTTCCAAGTGTTTTGTTTGAACTACAGTGTGGTTCTAAGAATCCTAAGAAATTAGTAGCCCACTTGAAACCTGAATATAGATTAATATTTATAGTCAGGTTAAACTCCTCTTCTAGTATTTGAATATTTATGTCAGTGGTAAAACTGCACACACTAACTGGGCTTGCAGTTTTATACAAAGATAAATAAGTACAAGTATGTTGCTAAATTAGCTGATGTTAAAGACAGGATTCTAACGTAATCTTTTTTCTTCCCCCTTCTGTCATTCCAACATCTTTTTTCGAACTGTGAACTAAAGTGGAAGACAAGCATTCCAGTGATGCCAGTAGTTTGCTCCCACAGAATATTTTGTCTCAGACAAGCAGACACAATGACAGAGACTACAGACTGCCAAGAGCAGAGACTCACAGTAGTTCTACGCCAGTACAGCACCCCATCAAACCAGTGGTTCATCCAACTGCTACCCCAAGCACTGTTCCTTCTAGTCCATTTTCGCTACAGTCTGATCACCAGCCAAAGAAATCATTTGATGCTAATGGAGCATCTACTTTATCAAAACTGCCTACACCCACATCTTCTGTCCCTGCACAGAAAACAGAAAGAAAAGGTATGCCATTATTACTAGATGCTGCACGTTGAACTCTAGTTTCTGATATTTACATTATTTCCTTTGGCTTAAGTAAGGCTCAAATTCATTTAAGTCTTTCATAATGTTACTGCATAGACTTAGGTCTAGAGTTAGTCATATTTTAGCCTTTAATAAAATTTTTAATATCCAGACGCAACTGTTTTTTTGCTTTTGATATTGAGGTCAAGTCCTTAATTTGTAATGTTTGGCAATGGTTTAAACAACTTATCAGAGTCAAATGACTGACTGTCCCTTTATATTTGATATTTTTAAATTTTTGTTATAATCTTGTTAGTGTAGTTTAGAAATTGTGTCAATTTTTGTGAATAGAAATATTTTGAAACATTTCTCTATAACATGTAATTACTGGTTTCAATTTGTGAATTAGAAAACAAATTTTGAGTTGTGAGGGCCACAAAATAAGCCGTAATTCAGATATTAACACTTCTTAAGTTTGAAAAGTAGAAGTAAACATTATAACCCAAATTGCATTTATAAGACTAGATGTTAATAAGCATAGCATGTCCAAAAAAGTCTGAAAAGTAATGATAGCTGCTTGGGAGATGACACACTAAAGAAACAGCAGTATGATAAGTATATTTTGCATAGAGCTTTCACAATTCCAAACCTGAACTTCATAGTATATATATATTTAAGAATCTAAGAAAGTTAAAAGGCAGTGAAGAAAGAAATTATGGGTAGATCCATTAGCAGACTATTAAGTGTTGAGAAACTTTTCCATGTTTGGTGGGTTTAGGTGAAGATAATTCTTTAAGCCAAATCTATTGCTTGATCCATTGCTTCATGTTGACTTAATTTGTTGATGAAGGGTTCAAATAATTGGATTTCTTTTACTTTAATTTCCCCTCTTTTTGTGCATATTATTTGAATGTCTCTTGTTACTGTGGCATTTGTGTTAGATATTACTAAACCATATGCTTTTGTCATACAGTTAAAAAATACATTAAACAGGTTAATACTTGTTCCAAATACTATAAAACTTCTTAAAGGTGGTTTGCACCAAATTTATTGCATACATATCAGATTTACTCTGTTATAGAAAAAAATATGTGAAAAAAACTTGACAAAATTTGAATTAATGCATTAATTATTAATTCTAAAGAATGTTTTGTTTTTTTAGTTACTGTAATTTCCTTTATTTGGTCACAGAAGAATTTTGTTTAAAAACCCTTGCAGTTAAAAAAAAAAAAAAAAAAGTGACCTAGGTACAGTGGCATCTCTCCTTGACTGGGGAGGCTGTAAGTGAGAGGATCGCTTCAGCCCAGGTGTTCACTAGACTACCCTTGGCTAAACATAGCAAGACACTTGTCTCAAACAAAATCTCAACCTTGTAGAAGAAGTCTTTATCTCATTTTACCTTTGCATATTTAATGCTTTTTAGCTCTTCTCTATTTTGAAATTTTCTCTATGGCTCATTTGATACTACTCTCCTACAATTTCCTAATTATTTTCACTTTGCATTTTTTATATTGGCATCATCTACTTTTTTTTTTTTTCCTGTTTTGTCCTTTTTCTTGCTTAAAATGTCTTCTCTTTCCTTGTGACCATCTTGACACCCATACCTTTAGTTCCACCTCAGTAATTTATCTACTTCTTTCTTGGTATTTGTTACATTTTCTCAAATACAGTATTCAAAATTTTCTCCTTGTTCCATAATTTAGATTGTTAGTACTTGACAGCATTTTCCCCAGAACTTTTCCTTGTTCTTCAGCATTCTCACTACTTCTACCCATCCTTTCACAAATCTTAAGACTCTTTCTAGATCTCATTTAGGTATATCCTTTCTGCTATTAATTACCACCAGCATTTTTGAAACTGGGATTGAATGACCTTCTTATTTCATTCATTTTAGTCTGACCTTAAAGTGGCATTGTTATAAAATTTAGATTGGATTGTGCCATTTCCTTGCTTAAAAACTTTCTGTGTAGTGATTTTATCTTAGCTAAAAGCAGTCAGAACTTAATAAGATTGTAGTAAGTACTGAATAGCCTGGTTGCATTCTCTGACTACCTTGATCTCTAACCATTTCACTGTTGCATCCATTTAATCTGTTGTGAACATGTGTATTTCTTAGAGCATGTTATGTTCTTTCATGTTCTGAGCCTTGTTAAATTGGATGTTCTGTTTTGTTTTTTTTTTCATTCACAACATGTTGAACTCAGTGCTGTTTCTTTAGGACTGAACTCTGATGTCATGCTAGTTTTTGTATCACTTCTCCCAGTGTTTCCCAAATGATTTCTACTTTTTTCTAAAATTGCACTTACAAATTTAGTTTTTTCAATAATATATTCTCTTTTGGGTTAGACGGTCTGTTTTACTGCATTTTTTACTTTGTTCACCTTCTACCCTCTTTCCATGCTTTTAGAACCATTTCTGATAAACTTAACACAATTAAAATTTATAGTAACTTTAAGCTTATAGGAAGAAACACAATTACCTTTGAAATTACCAAGTATTTTTTTTCCTGCATGATAATTGAAGACAATATTAACTGTCTTAAATTATAATAGTTTTGATCTTTTCTCGTTGTCCTTCAGTTGGTTTAAATTTATGAAGTGTCCATTGATTTTAAATGCATTTCTAATTGAAAGTGAGTGTTATTTAAATTGTTTCCTGTTGAATCTTTGTCAACATCATGATTTTCTTTAACAGTTAAATAATTTAGGATTAGGGGGTTTAGCTCCATGGTAGAGCACTTGCCTAACATGAGTGAAACTTTGGGTTCAATCTCCAGTACTACAGAAAAACAAAAACAAAATTTACACAATTACATAATTTATGTTAAAAGATTGATGGTTCAAATAAGGTTGTTGTTGGTCTTAAGTGATAATAATATGACTAAGTATTGATATCTAAGGGTGTTACTTGAAAGTTTGCTGTGTCAAATAATACAGGAGCAGAATCTTATCTGCCACTTTCTTCCTAGTGCTCGACATAGTAATAAGCACTGTGTAAATATTTGTTGCAGATGGATAAACAACTCTAACACTGTTAATGAATGTATTGTGGGTTGGAAGAGCATGGTCATGGCAATGTAAGAAAAGTTTAGTAATTTAGAATTATAACAGGTAAATTTATAAACAAAGTAGTCACAAAAGCAGACCTAAGTAAAGTCAAGCTCCTAGAATTAGTGTATCTAAATGATCAGATCATTAACATACTTGTTTCTCATTGGGAGAGGGAAGAAGAAATCAGTCGTGGATTAATATGCAGTGACATTTATTTGGAATAGAATCCCCCTGCGTGTGTTTATGGTATCTGCAGACTAAGTAAAATTTGAATAAACTCTTAAGATTTTAATAATACATTAAGACAGCAGTGGTCTTATAGCTGACACAGAAGGTTATTTACTGTCCAGGTGGACCAACTTCAGCTGTCAATTGCTTTGTTTTTGAAAGTTTTTAGAGTTACTAAATATGATGAAAAAATAGGTTGACCATAGTTACTCAAATGTTTGAATAGCTGAATACATAAATTAGAGGAATTTAGTCTTAGTAAATAAGTTTAAATTAAGTTTAGTCCAGTGACTAAAAATGGTATTTCAAATAGTAGAGCAGGAGAATCAGCTGTGACAAAAAGAATACTAGGAAATATTGTTAATAATTTGTGAATAAGGATGACCTTTTAAAATCAAGACCCATAATGCATTTAGCTAAAAAAGTTGATAAATTTAGCTGGGTGTGATGGTGCATGTTTTTAGTAATCCCAGCAACTCAGGAAGCTGAAACAGGAGGATCCCAAGTTTAAGACTAGCCTTAGCAACTTGGCAAGACCCTATCTCAATACAAAGGGCTGGGGATGTGGTAAAGCACCCAAGGGTTCAGTCCCCAGTACCAAAAATAAAAAGTTGATATATTGACCACTGAGATGTTTAAAATTTCTGGGACAAATAATCAAGATTGAAAACCAAATAATGATAGGAGAAAATATTTACAACATACATAGCAGATGGGATACTTTAAGAATCTATGCAAAGCCATGCGAAAAACAATGGTTCAATAGAAAAACCATGCAAAGAATGTGAACAGGCTGTTAGAAAAGAGGAATTTTAAGTTGTCATTAGACTTTATATACAAAATTAATTTTAAAAATGAACTAAAAATGACATTTCAATGGCTAAAATAAGATTTAAAAAGAAATACAGGGGCTGGGAATATAGCTCAGTTGGTGGAGTTCTTGCCTTCCATGCACAAGGCCATGGGTTCAATCCCCAGCATCACAAAACAAAAAACAAACAACAACAGCAACAACAACAACAAAAAAAAAAAAGGAGGAAATCTTCAATGTTGAAGTTGTCAGTGACACCAAAAACTCAAGCAGTGAAATAAAAAATAGATATTAGACTTCATTAGTGTTAAAGACATTTTATGTATTAAAGGAAACTACCAATAATCTATACAATTAGAGAAAATATTTATAAATTTTATATATTATAAGGAATTGATACTGAGAATATCCAATTTAGCAATAACAAAAAAGCCAATTAAAAAATGGACAAAGGGCTTGAATACATTTCTCCAGAGACGATATTTTGATGACCAATAAGCACATGTAGAGATGCTTAACATCAATTCATTAGTCACGAGGGAAATACAAATCTAAACCACAATTAAATAACATTTCACACCCATTAAGATGACTTTGTGACCTTTTAAAAAAAAAATCATACTTTTGAAGTTGTGAAGAAATTGGAGTTCTTACACTTGCTGGTAGGATTGTAAAATGGTGTAGCCACTAGGGATTAGTTAATTCCTTTAAAAGTCATACAGAGAATTACTTGCAGCATCCAACAGTTTGTCTTTTATATATATACCACAAAATATTGAAAGCCAAGGATTCAAGATTTTTCTGTTCCTAGCAGTTATTCATTGTAGACAAACATGAAAAACAGTAAGTGTTCATTAACAGATTAAAGACTAAAATGTGGTACATATTTACATACAGTGCAGTATTATCAACTTTCAAAAGGAATGAAAATTCTGGCACCTGCTGTAGAATGAGGATGAACCATGAGAACATTACATTAAGTAAGACGTAGTAAGACTTCATTTATGAGATGATTCCACGTATGTTCTTAAAGACAGAAAATAGAATTGTGGTCCTAAGGGCTGGTGGGAGTGTTTGAAAGATGAAAAAGTTTTAGAGATGAATGATTATGAAAGTTGCACAGAGATGTGAATGTCCTTAATGCTGCTGCATCATACACTTACAATGGTAAATTTTATGTAAATTTTATCAGACTAAAAATGCAGGTACATACTGAGTGTTAAGATGAAGTTGAGTTCATTTTTCAATTTTTAGGTTGGTTGACAGCAATTGGATATGGGGAAATGTGGTTGGTGAGAGTGTGTTAGTGTAGTGTTGAGGTTAGTTTAACAACATCTGTTAAACATTGAAAAATATGCTTTTGTAGCAGGATGAAGATTCTCTCAGTTGAATAAAAAGCAAGTTGCAAAAACAAACTTAGAAAACATCAACATTCATATATGTTTATAACTGCATCAAAGTATTAGAAGGATATGTGATTAAAAATATACATAATTCAGAGCAAATTGATAGTCTCAGTAATATTTTAATAGGTATCATCATCTTGCAACCATGTGGTTTTTTCTATTATATCTGTATATTGTGTTTTCTTTTATAAACTACTTCATGTTAACTGTACCACCACTATTACAAAGTGGGAAAAGCAGATTGTCTTTGATATAGTTGTTGTTTTGACATACATGTGTTCATATCCTTCTTCAGTATTACAGCAGCTGTCAAAACATCATAGGAAACTGATTAGAAATGCAGTTATTATCAGTATCTTTAAAAATCCTAAGTGTATATCAAAGAGAGTTATTTGCTATCCCAGAAAAATTTACTTTGGTGTATGCTGTAGGTGACTTGGAAGGTTGGGTTAGAAAAGTTGCCTGATGAAACAATTTTTTCTTAATTTTAGTTAAGTTACTCCCCCTTCAGGAAAAGAAATGGAAATACAAATCAATAACTCTCTACTTATGATTAAGTATAAAGAGAAGGAAGGTTGTTTTATCTTAAGGCAGAGAGACTATTTAAAAACAAAATTTTTATGAACTTATTTATGGTTCATATTAAATAATTGGTTAAAGCTCTGAGTTGTAGAAATGTAGGGAAGTGAATAAAGTTTGAAATAGCTTAGGGTAAAGATCTGGATATCTTTAAGTCAAAGTACTAGAGTTTAAGCTGTATACCATTCCTTTGACAGGAGAAATGTTTAAGTTAGCCACGATTTATTAGCCTCATAGCCTTAACAAATTAGATTCTAGCTTAAACAATTTCAAAGACTGTTAATTAAAATTAGATTTGTATGAACAGCACAATAGGTAATTGTTAAGGTTTTCTTAATATCTTACCTTTGTTAATGAAAATAGTAGTTTTTCAAGTATTCAAAATAAGCCTAAGAAAGTGAATATAGCACAGAATAAATGGTTTATTAACTCCTTTAGCTATTATATTGTAGGAAACCTAGACTTCATCCTCCCCAGCATCATCATTTTTTTAAGCCAATTCAAAAGATTGTCCTAGAAGTAAAGAGAGAATGTGCATCTTTGCTTATATTGCACAGTTGGGCATCCTGTTCACAAATAAATATTGATGAGGCCTAGTCCAACTTTACTCTAAGGCTGTGAGATACATCAAACAAAAATTTCTCTTCTGATAGAGCTCTTGAGTAGAACATTATTATATAATAGAAGATGCTTGGTACTATGAAAAAAGAGGAGGGGGGGCATAAGAGAAACCCCTCAAATGTAAAACTTACACATTTGTAAAATGGAGATTACTCAGAATAGCATTTGTAGTAATTATTAAACTCAAATTAGTTATTAGTTTCCAGTTACACAGGTAGATTGAGGTGCATAATATTCAGATATATGAATACGTTATAACATGGTTTGGAAAGGCATTTGTATCTTGGAAGGGGGAAGGGCTATTAAAAGAAGAATATAAAAATGGGATATTAAAGGCCTTCCTGGAAAACAGTTTTAGCTTTTCCGTCTTTGGTCTTATTCTCCACTTATACTCCACTCAAAGTTATGAGGAACCTTCAAGATTCTCCAGTCTGTATTTTTTGTTACCAGCAGGGGGTGCAGAACATTTTCAATTTGTACATATGTGTAAGTCTCCTAGGCTCATTGTTTTTTTTTTTTTTAAGAGAATTATAATATTTATTTATTTTTTTTTAGTTTTTGGCAGACACAACATCTTTGTATGTGGTGCTGAGGATCGAACCCGGGCCGCACGCATGCCAGGCGAGCGTGCTACCTATTGAGCCACATCCCCAGCCCCTCATTATTTCTAAGTTGGAGCCCAAGTATCTGTACTTTTAAAAATACATACATACATACATACATATATATTTTAGTGGTCAATGGACCTTTAATTTGTTTATTTATATGTGGTGCTGAGAATCCTACGCAGTGCCTAACACATACTAGGCAAGTGTTCTACCATTGATGCACAACCCCAGCCGCAAGTATCTGTGTATTTTTAAGCTTTAGAAGTGATTATATTCTGTTAAGCAGTGTATTGAGAACTAATACTAAAAGTCAAGGCTTTGTAATAGAGAAATTCTGACCTTTAGAGATGTCACTTGCATGGGGGATCCTAATAGGATCAACTGGTTTTTATGCTGCTCATCTCTCAAAACACTGCTAAAGTCAAAAAAAGGAAATAAAGCTATTTAAATTAGAAATCAAGAATGTTTAGTTTTTGTCATTCTTTATGGTGATGTATAATATTTTGTTTTATAGTGTTTCTTTTGATTGGCTTAAATTTAGGACAACATTGAAGAACTATTAATCTCTTCTATTAAGACTTCCAAGTCTGAATGGATTTGACAGAACCAAACAGTTCCTTTTCCAACTTGATTCTGCCTGTCATTAAGAGCAGAAGGAGGGCTGGGGATGTGGTTCAGTGGCAGAGCACTTGTCTCACATGGGTGTAAGTTGTAGTTGCCCGAACGACTGATGAATTTTCCAAAGGGGGACAAAATCATTCATTACAATCAAGTTTCTTTGCTAGTCTGGATTAATAAATATAAAGTGGGAAATGATAGTCTGTCAAACTCAAGTATTTTGCATTATAAAAATAAAAAATCTTAGGCTTTCTGAGTTGGTTGCAGTTTTAATCAACATATCCTTGAAATGGACTTTTAAAGTAGGAATCTCATAGTTACTTTAAGAGGTTCTACCCTTTGGTTCTTTGAACAATTATAATAGTGTAAACAGACTGAAATTGTTTCTATTCAGTAAACTTGCTGGTAATTCCCAGCTTCTCTGGGACCATGAAGGTTAGTGAATGCTTTGTTCTAGAGTTAAAGATGAAGATTTACAATGATTAAATAACAGTATAAAATTGAAATGCAGTTGTCCTGAAATGTATGCGTGACTTCATAACAGCAATTTTTTCAGTCGTATGACAAATATATAATCTTGAAAATCTTGAAGTGGATATGCATGGGAAATTAAAGGTGTTTTCCCAAATGCCCATATTTAGTCTTTAGATCAATATTATAAGATAGTTCAGTTTGAATGTTGTTACCTTCAGATTCATATTTCTAATACTCTTTCCTGCTTTGAAGTCTGTATATTAATACAATCTCATGGTATGTAAAAACTACAATTGTTTACTTCCTTGTTGGTGGACATTGTTTATTTCCACTTTTAAGCTAAAATAAAGGAAACACAGTGCTGTTGAGTATTTGCCTTGATTTGTGTATATCACAGTTTCACTGGGGGCAGTTCACCTAAGGGTAATTACTGGGTTATTAAGTGTATTTATCCTCACCTTTTTAAGATAATACTGAATTATTTTCTAGAATGGTTGTATCAGTGTAGTTTCAACCAGAAATGTTAAGTAAATATTTTCATTATTCCTCGCCAACATTTAGTATTGTCAAACTTAAATTTTTGCCAGTGCAGTGAGAGTAAATGGATATCTTGCTTTATTTTACACTTTTCTGATGATCAGTGAATAAAATTGTCTTTTCTTGAGTTTTTAGACTTCAGATTTCTTCTGTGAAATCTCTTTTTGTATTTTCCTCCATTTTTCCTTTGGATAGTTTCCTTTTTTAATTCATAGAAATTTTTTAAAATATGATGCTTGCTAATATTTTGAATTAGTTATCTTGCTTTTTGTAATTTTTAGATACCTACTTATGTCAATGATACCTTTTCTATGTTTTCTTCTAATAGTTTTAAAGACTTGTAAATATACATACAAAATTTGATCTCAAGTTATTTATCTGACAGGGCATCTCATGTGTTGCATTTTTCTTCAGGAATCTTCAGAATTTTTATTAGCAATTTATCATATGCTGTAAAGATGCCATTTGGGTCTTGATTACAATTGAATTTATATTAATAATTTGAATAGTAGCTTTGCATATTTTTTTCTTGCATCTTTTATTTAAATACTGAGTCTGGGCTTTGGGGTTTTTAGCATTTGAAAGAGTCGTTTTTATTGGTAATATTTACTATGTTATTCTAAAACTTAATTACTCTATAGAGTCTTTCCTCATTCATCACATCCTTAGCCCATCTTTGAGGGTGAACACCATGGTGCCCATCCTGTTATGTATTAAGGCCTTGTCTTAATATGGTCATAAATTTTTTTTTAGGGCATATAAATTAAGGTGTATAATATTGTTCCTTTTTTCTAATGGAAGCTGTTTGTGTGGTTAATATATAACCAGGTTTGAGATGGTATTACTTAGTATGGTACTTTTAAAAAATCAGATATGAATATGGCTTATTAGCTTCTTTAACTCCCCATTTCATTATTCTAGTCGGGCAGATATTTACTAAGCAATCTTGTGAGCACTAAATGGGAAGTGTTTTTCTGATTTTTGTTCAGGTTCCAAAATTCAGGTAATTTTTTTCAGCTTTATCATCTTTTTATTTAGAGTCTACATCAGGAGACAAATTGGTATCACATTCTTGCACAACTCCTTCCACTTCTTCTGCCTCTGGACTGAATCCCACATCGGCACCTCCAACATCTGCATCGGCAGTCCCTGTTTCTCCTGTTCCACAGTCACCAATACCTCCATTACTTCAGGACCCAAATCTGCTTAGACAGTTGCTTCCTGCTTTGCAAGCCACGTTGCAGCTCAATAATTCTAATGTGGACATATCCAAAATCAATGAAGGTAAATTTTTGATAGCAGTAATTTAAGAAATATTTGTTTGCTTTGTGCTTTGTGCAAAATTATGTTATCAATGAAATTCCCAACTAAGGGGTGGTTTGTTGTTGTTTCCTTTTGAAACTAGTATTTAAATTTCTTTTTGGAGTTTAAAATTTATTGTCTTTCATAGTTTAAAGGTATTGGTAGTAAAATTGAGCTAGTAATACTTCTATATAGATTTTTTTTTTCTTTATTCTCTTTGTGGTGTTGGAAATCAAACCCAGGGCCTCAGGCATGCTAGGCAAACATTCTACCATTAGGCTATAACCTCAACCCACTTCTATACATATTTTTAAAGCAGCTGTGTGTCTGGTTGTTACTGGAGAATGAGCTCTTCTATGTGTTAAGGATAGAAGCAAAATAAGAAATGTTTGTTAAAATTTGTATAAAAACTCAGCATTTTAAAAATATTTAAATATGTTAATTACTAGAAGATTAAAAATTCAGATTGTTACTTAAAATACTTGTAAAAGATTCTCAGAAGGGAGGGAGGTACTGAATAAAATTTTTCCCCTCCCTTTCTCTATGGTTAAGCACGGTAATTCTACCTTTTCTTTTCAGTATGCTACTGAAGTAAAGTGTTCAGGCAATCAACTTGAAGAAATCTGAATAAAAGTGGTTGTGGTTTTAATTTGGAAACCATTCAGATTCAGACATTCTAAGAGCTTACATAATTTTCTGATTAGAATCGTTAACTTATATTTATACATTTATACATAATATATTTAATAATAGTAAGTAGTTAATTCTAAAAAGAGCTATATCAGGCTAGACATGAGTTTTCTATTGCTTTCTTCAACTTTATTTTTGTTGTCTGAAATTTGATTTTGTAGGTAAATACAAAGTAAAGCTTTAAATAGTTTGAGGAAACAATAGCACAAAATATCAATTATGTCTTACGCAGCAAAAATACATGGTATTCCTAAGTACTGGCTTTTTAATATTCGTTGTTAAAAGTTTATTGGGTGGATATCGATGTGTAGTTTCAGTGGTCAGCTTTTTTAAAAAAGCAATCAATGAAATAACCATTTATTCAGTTAATTCTGAGTAATTAACTGAGCATTCTACTTATAAATGGATAGTCTTCTGACACAGAAGTTTCAGTGAATGTTTTTTGGTGCTTTAAAAACGTCTCATTGAGGGGTCTTATTGTAAAAGAAACGATTGGTTTACCTTCAGTGTAAATTCATTTTCTTTTTCTCTTAGATCATTTTAGTCTTAGACCTGTTATTTGAAAGTTGTAACTTGAAACACTTGCTTTTTTCCCTTGAGTTCTCTTTGAGTTTTCAAATTGTTACCAATGCCACACAAGCCTCATTGTTTTTATTTGAATTTAGTGGATGATGTGTTTTTAGTTCTTACAGCAGCTGTGACACAAGCTTCACTGCAGTCTATAATTCATAAGTTTCTTACTGCTGGACCATCTGCTTTCAACATAACATCTCTGATTTCTCAAGCTGCTCAGCTCTCTACTCAAGGTATTCATTTATATTCTTAGATATTTCTAAAATTTGTTTCTTGATTTTTTTTTTTTTTTTTGTGGGGGGGGGTTGTTTGTATTTAGTTTTGCCGTAAAACGGTGATTTTATTTTTAGTTTTTGTAACATTGGCATATATCATTTTATTTTATTTAAATGAAG